AAAAAAAAAAAAAAAAAAAAAAGAAAAAGAAATATGCGTTGACTGAATAAAAAGTGAGTAAATACTAATGAGGAAAAATAATAATGAGGACTAAAATAATAACTGTGATCGTCCTGATATCATAAGATAAAATACTACTTGCGAGAGGATACATTTGCTTTTCTGGGGTCGACACCCAGCTTGCTCCCAATATGCGTCTCCAAAGGAAACAAAATAAAAAAAAAATACCTGGAAGAAAAGAAAAGGTAAATGATGATACACATGATGAAAAACAAATGTTTAACACTTTTGACGTCGTCTGAGGAAAATCAAAGTGAGCCCAGGGAGGAAGCTTTTCTTTTCTTCTTTAAAGTAAAGTTCCGTTTGTTCCTTCGTCAGTTTTGACATCTCATTTTATTCCACTTCCATCTTAGAATTTTTTTCTTCTTTTGCTTGCAGCTCTGCTCCTGTATGTTGCATGTCCATGTTTTTTGTTTTTCTGCTTTAAAGTAAAGAGCAATAATTCAGAAAAAAAGTTTTTTTTCCCCCCCATTGTCTTAAATGTAAATAATGCTGATTCCTGTAGAGAAATTGTACATTCCCTTTTGTGGTTCTCCGTCACAGACGCCAGTCCTGTTCTCTCACATTCGGGGCTGCTCCGCAAACAAGATTCTCAGTCTTCTTTTGTTCAAACTAACCTAAGAGAGGAAACACAGACACATGGGAAGTAAGTCTGATCACCAACGTCCGCACTACTTTAAATCAGAGTTAAAACATTCTGTTCATTAGTGGAGACGTGATTAATTAGTTTCTACTTCATCGAAAAGCAAATCAAACAGCTGTTACTAAATTAAATATTAGTTGTAGTCAAGAACAATCCACAGAACACCAACATGTCCTGCTGTGAATCTAACTTTACTGAAGAAAGAAGAGCTGTGCTGTGTTTTCAGCTTCCATGAGGACGAGCTGGACTCAAAGTGAGTCATGCAGAGAACAGTCAGTGTGAGACCAGGATGAATGTCAACGACAGGGGTCTGAGACTCAGCCAAAGAAGAGCAGCTGATTTTATTATGTGGGGAACAAAACAAAGTGAAAACACACACAGCTGAGTGTAAACTTACAGCTCCCAGACTCTTGTGTCTCTTCTTCCTCTCCGTCTCTCTCAGCCTCTCTCTGACTGCTCCAGGTACACTGGCTTGGCTGGCCGGATGCTCTGGGTAGACTGAGAAAGAAGGAAAATAAACTTTCTGAGCTGCTTGTTTGTGTTTGAAAGAGAGACGGGACTTCACACCGGCCAAAATGTCCTCAGAAATATAACGGAAACCAACCTCTCCTTCTTTACCTTGTGCTTCGGACACCGCAGTGAGTAGTTATCTTCGTTCAGAGAGCAATCTAGATGGAAGAGAGAAACTTTCAACACTAAGCAAAGATTTCCACTGAGATTCTAAACACATTATTAGTTCTTTACACTGACTCACTGCTTGTACTCAATGCATCTACTCACCTGCTTCAATAGCACACATGTAATGATAGCGAAGTGTACAGCCTTTGCTGTAGCAGCCCAGCGTCGAGCCGACCATCTCACAGTACGAGCAGCTCTGAGCACAGACAGAGAACGGAAAAAAAAAGAAATCAATACACCTTAAAACTGTACAAGTCAAGGAAGCGCCTGGAAAAATGATAAAAATCAATACACACATAACATCTATTAAACCAGACGCGTCTGTTTATCAGCTGTGATTCACAAACTGCCTTTCAAAACAGTCAACAACAAACCTGAAATGATCCCAAAACTAAAAAAAAGACACTCACTGTTTCTCTGGCGCCATCTAGTGCCTCCTGCAGGCCATAGAGCCTCCCATTGACGAGGTACACTCCACTGGTCCACACTATACAACATTCGTGGACCCACAGCTCCTCTGGGTCCATGGGCATCTGAGGAAGCTGGGCGAGTTGTGCCAATGGTCCCAGGGAGTCCAAGGCCGGCGGAGGGGGCTGGAAGGGCAGAGACGCCTTGCTGTTGGATGGCACCATCCTGGGGGAATCCTCACTCGATTTGTGCCTCCTCTTAAAGCGGGGATGCGAGGTCAGCTTTCTGTGTTGAGGTCGCTGCACAGCTTCGTCAGGCGGCGGCTGCAGCTGTTTTTGCACCTGCTGCGGGTCAGTCTCAAGGTCTAGCTCTCTCTTAAGCTGGGGAATAGGTCGGATATCTAGATTCATGTCCCAGGTTAGAAATGTGGGTTTACTGGTGGTGGTGGTGGTGGTAGTGGAGAAGGAGGAGGAGGAGGAAGAGGAGGAGCATGAGTAGGAGGAGGCGGTGTTACTAAGCTTTCCAGCCACATGCATCATCATATCCTCTCGTCCAGCAGGGGAGGCAGTTCTGACTGGAGTGCTAAGAGACGCAGGGTTTGAATCGAGGCTGATGGCATAGTCGCTCTCAGTTACAGGCTTGGGAAACTGAGCCTCTGGTGTTTGTGAGTCTTGGATCATGCTCAGATAATTTGAGCTCATGTCTGCATTTGGTCCTGTTTTGTTTGTGCCTGTGGTGGCTTGACACTGTCTGACCTGGGGCTGGTTCTTAGGGAGCTTTGCAGCATATTCAGCCCGATAGAAAGGCCCGTAGAGATCTCCGAGGTGTTTGTAATTTGCCCATTTCTGACACAGGCAACAAAGCAGGCGGCCAGAGTGATCGGTCTCTGTAATCACAGGGCCTGAAACAACATAGCCAGAAGAAGGAAGTGCTTTTCCTGACTGAAGTGTAGTTTCCACCTCGTCTGTCGTCCTTTTCTCAGATTCTTTGTCTCTCTTAGATACCTGGGAGGAAAGAGCTGAGGTCAGGAGAGAATCAATTCCACTGCCGCCTGCTCTCCCTGCCACTGCACCACGCTCCCCTCTCATCTTCTCCTCCTCAGCATTTACAATGGTGCACACCGCCCCAATCTCTGGTACTTTATTTTCCACATGTATGTGCGGAACAAACGGGCCTTTTCTGTTTGAATCTAAGAAAACTCTGTTTGCGCCGAGACCACCTCCTGACCCTAAAGGTGTATCTGGGTCATCTTTAGCCAATGATGGTGGTGCCGCTGTTGCTGCCGCCCCTCTCCTCCTCCTCCTCTGTCTCCCTCTTGCTTCTAGGGGCCCGTCTTCATCTTTGACGCCTCGGCGTCTCCGTCGCACAGGTTTGACCTCAGTCTCTGGCTGCGTGTCCTCACTCTCGACATCCACTTTCACAACCTGGGTTAAAACTGGGGGGGCGAGTGGGGGAGGGATTTTATCATCTGACAGCAGAGGCGCTGCAGGGGCTGGTGTGCTGCTGGGGGTGAGCACTGTCTGTGGAGCCAGAGCAGCGGCTGTAGTAGGAGTGGGCGAGGATGGAGCAGTACTCAGAGTTGTGTTCTGTGTCTGGACTTGAGATTGGGCCTGGGTCGGTGTTTGGGCCTGGTTCTGGGCCCGTTTTTGTTTATTCACACTCCCCACGGGCCTGCCCTTCTTTTTGCCAGATGGGAAATAGCCTTTGGGCACAATACTATCTGAGCTCTTAGAATCTTGTGGAGACAGACTGGACCTCCCAGAGGACATCTGATGTCTGTTGAGCATATGTCCTTGAGCCTGGCCGTGGTGGGGAGGGTTTGTTCCGTAGTAGTCACTTCCAGGATAATCATCAAATCCCATGCCAGATTCTTGAAGTTTCTGTCGGAGAAGATTAGCCGCAGATTGCTCTCCTCGTCTTGTCTCGAGCTCCTGGTAAGTGTTGGTGAAATGCTGAATATCTGACAGAGCTGAGGAGGACGGCGGTGGCGAACCCTGGACTGGACGAGGAAGAGGTGGAGGAGGGGGCAAAGGTCCGAGCAAAGCAAAGTCCTCCTTGTCATCAGATGCTGATGCCACAGCAGCCCCTAACCCAAAGTCAAAGTCTTGTTTGAGGGCTTGGGATGTCTGAAGGGGATCACATGGATAAGCAGATGGAGGTAAAGGTCCAGTCTCATCAACTCCTCTGAAGGGATTAATGTTGTTTAATGAGTGACTGTCATCCATGTAACTATCCGCCCCTCCTGTAACTCTGGGGAAATGTGTTAGGTCTTGGTCCTGTGAATCGTTAAATGCTGGTATGTCTGAGTGAGAGAATCCTGGGTAATGATTTGACTCATCCTCAGCATGGCCTACTGGCTTTTTAATATTTGGTGTGATTTTCTGCACTATCGCCTCTAGTTTCAAACCTCGTCCTTTCTTGGGAGGCAAAACCTTGATATTAGCACTTGATGGAGATTGGGGTTGTGAATAGGTATTCTCTCCAGTCATAGGGGAGGACAGCCTGGGGCACGGGATATCTGAACTGGTAGAGTCCTCTTCATTGTGATGGCTAGACTCAGAGTGAGCCCCAGGAGAGTGATGTGAATTTGTGGCACCTCTCTGCTGGGTCGCATCCTGGAGTTGCCTCTTGGCGGGAATTGGAGATATAAAAGAACGAACCCTCCTCCTCAATATTAGAGGATTCGTGTCTCCGGAACCACCAGCCTTAGACTGACGCACCTTCGGGGGCATGGAGTTCATGTCAGCAGGTGGCTTAGCGGGGCTGGATGGAAGAGGGGGGCAGGGATGCTTGGCTTCCTCTGTGGCTCCTCTAGGGACCTCGGGTTCAGCAGCATTTTGGCCATGCATCATCTGTGGAGGAGCAGGGCCGTGTGAGGCTGCTGGAGCTGGAGGAAGGGGAGGGGGAGGAGGCGGCTGTGTTCTGTAGAAGGACTCTCCCTCCATCATTCTCGGGCCTTCTCTTCCTGGGTGCGCTGACTCCCACATCTTCATATCAAAGAAAGCACTTTGATGATGCAGCAGAGTTTTGGTCGCGTGTTGTTCACCAGGCATGTCAGTTTGGGGGATCATCCTCTGTCTCTGCTCTGATTGGCTGACCTTATGTCTTCCTGGGGAGGAGCCAGGCTGCATCATCATCTCCTTGGATGACCTGTTCATTGCTTTCACCCAGTCACTCATCTCATGCGGGTGATGAGGGAGGCTGCGAGGGTGAGGATACATTTGGAGCTTATTTGTGGACTGAGCCTGGTGGGCTAAGTTGTGGTATGGATGGTGGGAGGGAAAATGGGGATTGCTTCGAGGCATTGTGTTGCCTTCTCTCGTATCCCCATATCTATAACCAGGAAAACTGCTGCCACTGCCAGTTGACAAATCAACACTGTGAAGATAGGACTGATGCCTTGAGGGGGACGATAAAGGATTAGTGCTCATGGGGTGAGAAGGCAAGGGGGACATATCCACATTGCCACGCCTATAGGGGTCAGCATTCATTACAACAGATGAATGAACAGACTTGGGATGATACTCCATATCTGCCTCATTCGCTCCACCCCTGCCATGACGATCGCTTTGTAAATGTACAATGTCTTGACCCGGGTCTTTTGATACAGTTTCCATTTTCACCACTTGTTTCTCTCCTGTGTCTTTTTTACTCAGATCATTGGCTGCTGCTGCTGGAGAGGAAAATGGCTGTTGGATCACAGAAGCTCCACTCTGACTTTTCTCTCGGTCTCTCTCTCTGTCACTCTCTCTGTCCCTCTCTGGTGTACTGCGCCGGTTTGGCGACACATCACAGATGACAGAGCGCCGCTCTGATGGGGCTAATATGGAGCCTGATGACTTTTGAGACTCAGTTTGACCAATGCTGCCACTTAGCGGCTCTGGCTCTTGCAAAAGGAGCTCCTGAACAGCAGATGATGGAGTGGACACATTAGATAACACTTTTCTCTGTGGAAGGGAGTAGTCAGCTAAGTTTATATGTTTGAGTGGGGGTTGCTGGGACTCTGTAGCCTGTGGTAAATGACTCTGGGACACACCTAATTCCGGTTTGTCGGCATTTTGCAAGATGTTAGCACTGGACACTTCTGACTTAACTGCAATCTGTGGATCCGTGGTGAAATCAGGCTCACTTCCATGCCTCAGGTTTGGATGTGTGGGCTTTCCAGAGCTGCCTATTTGGGCAGAATGAGCAGAAGCCTCTGTTGCTCTGCTCTGTATCCTCATACTTTCAGACATGCCATACAGAGTTCTGCTTTGAATGTGTTGTTGAACTTGGAGATGGGCAGGAAATGCCTGTTCTGGTCGGCCATAACGTCTATCTAAATTATAACCTTGAAGGACCTCTTGTAAAAGGCTGGGAAACTGCTGCATTTGTGAATTGTCGTCGTGAATTTTACCTCCTGCCCCGTGCCCTCTCTTTACCAAAGCCTCAGCTACAGAACCAGTCTGAGATTGTTGGTACCCTAAGTATCTGGAATTTGATTCCATTACACTCGCAGCACCAGCCCTCCCTCTCTTTTTCATTGACAAATCTGAGCCATATGTTGATTCTGGGTAGCCATATTTATGTGGCGCAGACTGGGGGGGATTCTGAGGCCGTCCAAAATTGGATTTCTGCGAAGAATACAGACTAAGATCTATTCCCTCCTCTCCATTATGACTGCTTGACTCTCTTAAGTAAGAGTGTGACTGTTTCTCTTCAACACAGTTGTCTTGGGGGTGCTTGTTTTTTTCAGTGTGACTTCCCTCAGATCGAGCTGAAACAATCACACCAACACCACTGGCACTTTGCTGCTCGTCTGACGTGTGCTTTTCTTCCCTCTCATTATTGTGTAATCTCGATGCAGTGTGCAATTTATTTTCTTTGTCCTGACCATTTTGTGTATTGACTTCTACATCTCGCTGCGTCTGGCTACTGCCTCTCTCTGTTTTTTCAACTGCACCTTCACTTTCATTTTTGATTACTTCATTTTTAACCTCTTTTTTCTTGTGGCCACCCTTGTTGTCATTATATGTTAAAACAGGTTCTGAGACACAGTTCGGCTGGGGAGGAGGAATGCTGGAGGAGGTGGAGGAGGGGGATGAGGAAACTGGAGGCGTTGAATGTGAAATTGGGCCAGTCTCTGATGACTGACAGCCAAAGGATGGAGATGATGACAAGGAGGGAACACGAGCTTCATTTGCTTTTGCTTCGGAAACACGTGATTCTTTTGTCAGGGAATCTGAGCTGACTGTTTTAGCATTTGCTGCTTGTCCAGTCTGCGGTTGGATTTGATTCTGACTCGGAGGGTGATAGCCTGTTGTTTCAGATCCACTGCTTGCACCACTCATCTGTCTCACTCTGCCATGTTCCCCCTCAGAAAACTGTTCCTCGCGCTCCACCTTGGTCCCTGATGAGCCTCCTACTGACATTAATGAGGATTCTTCATCAGCACCAGCATCTAAACTGGCACCATCAGCACTTCCATCTTTGACTGTGCTAGTACTTGAGGCTGCGCTAGCATTTCGACTCCTTGGTTGCGAGGGGGGCATGCTATGTAACGACTGTTGCATCTGCCCGACTTCTTTCTTCTTCTGTGAAAGAACTGTGTCGGTGAGGAGCATGTGCTGAACTGTGTTTGGTAAATTGGCTACTTGTGAGCTCAAGGCATTAAGACTATTCAGGCCGGCGTCCTGGATTTTATCAAGCAGAGAAGATGAATAAACAGAGGATGCTTCCTCACGGGATCCAATTCCTGCTCCTAGACCTGTTTTGTTGCGGCCTGTTGGAGGGAGACTGCTGCCTCCAACTGAACTCATGCTGTGAGCTTTATGACTGCCGCTGCTTCCACAACTACTGATGCTGCTATTTGAGTTGGGAGTGGGACTTAACTGTGGCATAGTCTGCAGTAATCTGCCATGACCATGGCTGCTACGGGGGTTTGATGGAGGAGGATGTGAAGGACCATGACCTGAGGTGTTTCCATGTGCCTCTGATACACCCATCAAAGGGGAAGGAGAGGAGCTACAGCTGGGGGAATGAACTGCCGAGGCAGCTGGAGAGGGGTTAGATATCGGGCTGAAGTTTTGGTTGATTTGGGTTTGCTGAGCATTAGGGTGCATTGGGGATTTGGCTATTTCTTGAGATGCTGCTTGAGGTATACTGGGATTGGAGGGTTGTTTAGCATATACAGACCCTGGAGACGGGCCCTGGTGCTGCATCTTGAGAGAGTTGTCGTAACCTACCCCTAAATTGTGCTGCGAGTTGCGGTGCTGTAGTGTGGACTGCTTGTGAAGAGAATGCGTCTGTGGGGAATATCCAGGATAACTTGAAGCATGGTAACTCTGTTGAACATTCTCTATTGGCCCCACATTGTTAGCAGCAACTGAACTGGAGACCGAGTTTGAACTGGAGTTGACACCGGGAGAGCTGTTGACTTTGGGATCAAATCCAGTGCTGGCAGTCCCATCGAGATATCTCTGTGGCGGCGGGCTGTACATTCCTGATGACCCCGTGGATGCTCCACTCTGTGGCGAGTAGTGTGCGTACTGTGGGGTCATTCTGTGCCCAGAGAGGGGATAGCTCCGATGCTGCTGTCCATGGTGAACAGCTGGGAAAGTTTGCCCATGCTGGCGGTGCTGCATCTGAGAGACTGACACTGACTGCATTGCAGGGTTCTGGCTCATATTGTACTGATGAGTAGGAGAAAAGGCTCCAGCACCAGCACCTCCACCCGAACCAGCACTAGAGCCGTAGTCTACTGGATACGGTGACATCAGGCCAGATGATGGGGCAGCGCCAGATCCAGCGTGTCGGTACTGGTGAGGTATATGTCCATCAATATTAGGGTACCCAAAGCCCGCCCCGTAACCAATACCTCCCCTTCTCTGCCTCTCCTTCCCGCCCATTGAAAAATAATAATCCATGGCATCCTTCCTGTAAGGGTTGGTACTATTGCCACTGTGAATGTTACCCTGTGTTGGCGGTTGCTCCACAGCTCCTCTGCTTCTAGCACTGTAAGCAAGCATGTGGCTGGCTTGACTGGGGTGGTGATGGCCTCTGAGCAGGCTCTGTTGTTGCATGCCTGCATAATCGTCTGTCATCCTTGGGGAGATCTGGGGGTCTGCTGGTTGAGGGGGATACGGAGGTCCGCCTCCACCCCTCCCACTGAACCCATGGGGTAAAGAAGTAGGAGCTGGACTGTTTGGAAAATTCTGCATTGCTTTCTTTTTTGGTTTTTTGGATTTAAAAAACGGAAATATCTGTCACTGTCTATATCAGGGAATGTTTCTGATCAGAAACTGGAAGGCTTATGGCAGTAACCATAAATGACAAAGAGAGAGTCAATGGCCTGGCAGTAAAACAAGGAAATGCTTTTGAGCTGCAGCAAATATCACAGATGTTATAATCACTTTTGTTGTCGCAGAGAGTTTCAGGGAGGTTGAATAGATGATGATTTTATCAATATAGAAAAAGGTCAAATTGTAAAAATCTTTCTTCTTCAATGTGGTGGTTGTTTTTGCTTAAAAATGTTAAGATACAGGAGGGTCTTAAAGACACAGAAGGTATGAAAGAAAAAAAAAAAAGATATGCGTGGTGAAGCAGGTTTCTACTGCAGAGAAGTCCAAGATTAAAAGTATGCAGTCATTCCCATGACTTTGAAACGGTTTGGCACTAAGCAGGCAACAATATCACGGACAACTGACACACCAGCGAGAGATGTTCAAATGTCTTAACATGCATACACTCCGCTATTACAACAGCTCAAGCAAGCAGAGCTACGTTTGGATCAAACTGAGTTAAAATCCAACAGCATCTTGAGTAAAAAAAAAAATCTATTGAGACCGTGTTCCGTCACAGCGATCCTTCAGTTTGTCAACATGTATGAGCGGACACACAGCTGTGTGAGGCTGCAGTAACAGAACGAAGAGGTCTGAATACAGACTCTCACTGAACGCTCCCGGAGGCAAACACTCCATTGATATTCTCATTAACTGGTGGATGCAGAGTGTAATTCTTTCTGAGATGTTTTTTTTTTCTTGGTCATTCCCTCTTAAATAACATTTTCTTGTTAGTTATCTTACTGCTGCATGCATTCATTTGGACTGTAGAGGTCTTTGGTCCCTATATAGTGATCATTCTTTCCTCAGATTCTGCGTTCAGATTCCTCTTGGTGCGCTCCTGTATCTTCAGCATGTAGCGGCCTTACCTTTGTTTTTTTTGTGTCAACCATAATTTAATTCTACCAAGTTCCATGGCAACAATTGTCCAAAAGGAGGGTAATCCATTTATTCCACTTCAAGTTCAGTTGGTTCAAGCTCCGTTTTTTCTGTTTCTCTTCTGTATTTCCATGCAGATACGTTCGTTCTCCAGAAGTCGGTGACCAGAAGCCCTCACAACTCTGCAATCACAAAAGATGAATTAAAAATGTTAGTATGCAAAGATGACAAGGCAACATTTGTTTACCACACATTTTGCTAAAGCTCATTGTTAAATAATTATCGAGAGAAATGAGCTGCAGTTTAAAATGCGTTTTGGAATAAAGACAGTTTTAATGGTGCATTTTTTAGATTTTTTTTTAAATTCATCAAATTGATTTAAACAGTTTAGTCATAAACGTGACATATTTATACTTAATTTCATTTCTAAATTACTGCAGCTGCTCTCACTGCAAAAGAAAAAAACAAGGATCACGTATTAAATCTGCATTTCAGCGCACTAATCTTTACTGGAACCTCAAAATAATCACACAGGTTTATCACAGATACATAAACCAAACCAATAACGATGTTAACAATCCTCACTGAATTTACTATTCATGTGCCTCCTTACTCCACTACCTTGAAAGGTTTGCTGGCCTCATCTCAGCACTCCTATTTTAATATGCACTGTGGGTATAGCCTTTACTGTGTTTGGCACTTTTACAATACATGCCTAAGCTTCCTCCTCTGACTGATAACAATGACGGAGAGAAAAGTGGGTTGGCAGCAGCACCAGAGAAGCACAGACAAAGTCACAAACACTTCCTCTCCTGTAAACAAACAAACAACCATGTGGAGTCGAGACAGAGGAACCGCATCTCCCGCCTCTTTTACAATCAGACTAAACCATTAACTTAACAGCATTTAACTTGTTTTAATGGCCTTTAATTGTTACGGGTGTCACTTTAAGGGGATGACGGCAGCTTTATGAGGTCAATGCACATAATTACCACGTGTGACACAAGCCTCTATTGTCTGCTTCAAAAACACTGTGAAGAGGCTAATGACCCTACAACAACTTTGGGAGAGTGGCCTCTTTGTGTAGATGTAATCAGAGCCACACTGTTTATGCGTAGGTCGGAATTTAAGTTACCAACTACCAGCGGATGTTAAGGACGTCACCTTTGTGTCATCAAGCGTTTTAGGTCTCATAATCCACGATACAGACCGAAGTTGAGTTGACGCTGAGGCTGAAGGTAAATCTGAGTGACTAGTTGCCTCTAGAAGATGGAGACCACACCATGTCGGTTCTACTGAACTAAAACACCCAGATGTTAGCAGATGTTAGTGACCACCAGTGCAAAAATAGGGACACGTCTTCAGTTGTTTACCTTAGCATCATCACAACTACTAGTGTTGTTAGCATCAGTCCTGTGTTGTTCATCATCTGTATTGTGTTTTTAAAGTGAGAGTGACAAGCATCTGGATGAAAAACATGGAAGGGGGGGAGAACAAAACAGAGCACATCATCCAGCGGGTCGCAGTCAGCGGGTTGTGTTGTGTTGTGATGCACCGGACACAATTAATCTCCATCAGCTGATGAGCCCATATCTTGATGACTGATTAATCACTGCAGCTCTCTGTGCAGCATTAGAGGAAACTGACCCAGTGCAGCGTGTCTGCGAGTCCACCAGCGGCACAGCTGCACAGAAAAGCACGAGCATTTATTCTGCAGCTAGAACAACCAGCTCCATTTCATTTGTCCTCATCTGTCATGAACAACAACACTGGCTCCTGTACAATAGCCTCAGCAGCTACATTAGCCCGTAGCATACGCAATATCACAGTTAGCTTTGTGTAGCTGCTGCTGCTGCTGCCTCTAGCCTGGAGAGTTTAGCGTTAGCCCCACAAAAAAAAAAAAATAACACACACACACACAACACCACCCAACGTACTGCTAATTAAAAATGCCAGCTAGTGGGGGTTGGCTAGCCAGGCTACAGCCGCTAGTTAGCATCTTAGCGAGGAAGCTAATTTGCAGGTAGTTCATGACAACGTAGCTCCAGCGGGCTAAAGGCAGGGGGCTGCTACAAAAGAGGGGTGATTAGGTGCAGATGTTTCCCCCCTCAGACGTCCACAGGGGCTGCGGGGAAACAGGGGAAGGGGTTAGCTAGCTTCGACAACATAGCCACCAGCGCTGCATCAGAAAAACGATCATCACGCAGGCGGATTTTTTTTTTTAACCCTCGTTGAATAAGCGGCTAACGATCGCCAGGGAGCGGCGGCGGTGCGGAGGGGAGATCCGGGGGGCAGGCTAGCTAACACACGTACCTGACAACGTAGCGACACAAGGCCCCGCCGAGGAGCGGGTTTTTTGTGACAACCCCAGCCGCCTCGAGTCGACCGCTCCGCCGCTTTTTTTTTCTCTCTCTCTCTCTCTCCCCCTTCAGCCCTCCTGCGTCCAGACAACCACCGAGCAGCGGCGGCGGCGAAGGGAGGAGGAGGGGGCCCGTCACGACACTCGGATCCCGGGGCCTTTCTTCTCCGATTCCCCCCTCTCTCTCTCTCTCTCTCTCTCTCTCTTCTCTTTTGTCCCTCACCTCCAGAAAATGATGGGAGCGGAGCAGCACAATCGGGGGGAGCCTGTGGGTCCCGTCAGCGGTGAGGTCCACACACACCCCCGCCCCCCTCCTCACCCTCTGGTTCCCTCTCTCTCTCACACACACACACACACACACACATACACACACACACAGCTGAGGTGATCCCACAGATCTCCCGCTGGAAACCACACACAATCCGGTGCGGTCACTGAATCACATGTGTCTTCATCTGCAGCTCAACCTCTTCGTTCCCCCTGTTCCACTACTGTTTTTCTTCTTCTTCTTTGCAACACACACACATAGAGAGAGAGAGAGAGAGAGACCGCCTTGAAAATGCACACACACTCATATTCCTGCACCTCCTCCTCTCTCCATCACCCCCCCCCACCTCCCTCTCTCCCCTTCAAGCTTTTGCAATTTCTCTCATTTTCACCTACATCTGCACAGGAGAAGTCCACAGATTACAGGAGGGATGTTGCAAATTGCTGATTTCTCAACGCCTGCATGGGCCGAGCCTTGGTGACACAGCTCCTTTGTTCCTATTTCATCTCGCCAGTGAAAGTGGAAAAAGCCTAATGAAGGCAACCGGAGTACAAAGGCAATAAGCAGAGGAGACAGGGTTGAATGCAATGGTGGGATATGTCTAGAAGACCAAATAGGCTGCACCGGAGGAAGACTGCGGTGCAATGAAGGGACGAAGCTTAAGTTTACAGCGCGGCTCTCTTGTTTTTGTCCTCTCCTCACAAAGAGAAACCACTTAAATCATCACCACGATACCCAGTCATCGGTTAATGTTTGACAGGACACGCTCACAACCCCACCATGGCCACAACAACAATGGAGGGGCTACAAACAGAATCCATTTCCCATTAAAATGTATTGTCTTGGTCTCTGCCGGAGCTTATCTGCTCTCACATATAGGGCCAGTGAGTGCAGCGCAGACCCACTCTCCCACCATCATAATGATGTGGCCTATGCCCCCCATCCATGCTGCTTCACTTTACTGCAGTGTGTCAACCACACACACACACACTTCGAAACCACACAAGCACAATAAAAAAAGCCATGGACACTCACAAAAATCCAGTCTGATGTGCACAAACACAAAGTCAACACACAAGCATGCACATCTGTATGCAGTCGCTCGCTTAACCTGTCAGTCACATGCGTAAAATCTCCCTCAGTTTCTAAACAACAGTTCAATACATTTCATTCCCGGGCAGATACACGTCTATTTCTATCATAGTTGCCATAGCAACTGCATCACAGGGCCTTAACTGTGGATAATTCTCAGGCTACATATCTACATTCGCCTTTTACATGTGCAATTTCACAAAGACGCTCTTGTTCGCCGGTGCAAGTCTTCAACCACAAATCAGTCGCGAGCAGTTGTGTGCTTGTATTGCCTCTAAAGTTGAAGTGAAAATGCTGAGAGGCGAGATAAAGGGCATTGATACTCTGGGCCAGCAAGTCAGCCAGTCAGGCTTGTCCAATCAACAGGGGCGCCTGCTGGGATACACACATCCTCTTCTCCATCACGGACAAGGTCACAAAATCTTCAACAGAGGAGGCTCAGAGCACACAGCTGTTGAGGAAGCTGCCAGTTTTCAACACAGATCATGCGCTCCACATGCATGTGACACGCACACAACCAGGTAGACCAACAGAACCGTCATTTCTCTTATTTATCCCACAGTTTCCCTAAATTACACGTATACAAACCCAAACACAAGAGACAGAATTCAAAGTAAGACCGCCTGTACTGAGACTAGTAAATTTATGTAAATCAGAAAAGACGTTTGCCTCCCCGTGAGGCAGCAGGTTCATATTTTTGTATTTATTTTTGTGTAATATTGTTATTTTCCTCGTATTGTGGGAAAAAGGAGTTTGAAGGATTCAGGCTCCTTTCATGGTTGGATTGTCTTTGTGCCGAGAGTTGAATAGCATCCGTAATAATGATAAAATTAAAAATTATGTGAAAGAGCTTCATATTTACAAAATCCAACAGAGTCCACGTAATCTTGAGAGTACTATACAAGATCCATCATGTGATAAAAGCACAGTCCATTTTGACAATTAGACAGAAATCTGCACAGATACCTGCACCCAGTACCCACAGTGAATATCATCACATCAGTGCAATTTGCATAGAATTAATGGCGACATGTTGAACATGTCTGTCTGGTTTTGCACAAAAGGTCTAGAATGTCCGAAGGTCTGAGACGCAGGCGAGTTACATGTCACTCAGGCAGGTGAATGGGCAATTAAACCTCAGCTGGAACGTTGTTCTCTAACCTGAGTGCATTGAGAGAGAAATGGTGGATAAGTGCCTGCACGTCGTCGCTGCTCACTCTGAATACAATACACCCTTAAGAGTCGTTTTTTATTTGAAGGTGTGAGGCTAGAAGGCTCTTTCTGTCACTGATTACACCTGAGGACACAATAATCAATAATGACTCCATTCTGAGGGCTGATGATTTGATAACACTTCCGAGAGTCACTTGTTTCCACAGAGGAACAATCACCACTGTGGGAACATGTGCACTTAAAGGAGAAGTTCACAGTTTTTCTAATCAGGTTTTGAACATTAGAGCAGGTTTAACATGCTCAGTCCTCCAGTTCAGAGAGACCTCTTAGTAGGTCTGCATTATGAGGGACACAACCCACAGAATCCACTGCATCTCAGCAACAGAGAAACATATAGAGGGAATTTTATACTAAAATACAGATTCTCCTCTGCATTTAAAGAAAAAGTCATTTCATGGCCTCAGACTGTCTTGGACTTAACTCTATACCCGCTACTGACCACCAGCAATAGCTTGGCTCACACACCTCTGCTTGTTTTCTGTTTGACTTACTAATGTTCATTGCACAATGGCAAGCAGGAATGTCAGAGAGGTTCAGGCGGACGTATTGGAACCCGAGACTGACTCTGCAGATGATGAATAAGAGCTAATTATACAGGATTGCCTTCAAGTCAGTGTAATGGTTATAAATGAGATGAGCCTTCAGCTAGAAATCAAACTTAGAAATCTTGATAAATCTTAGTCCCAGCCACCTGCTATGAAAAATATATTTAAAAAAAAACATATACACATGTTCACAATTGTAAAAATGTTTTATTAACTTAAAAGAGTATTGACTTCGATTTCATTCCTTAAAAAAATGCTCAGCGTATTTGTTTGGTGCTGGCATGCTGCAGCATCCAGTTCACGCAGCAACAACCAATGGCATGCCCAAAAAGAAGCATTGATTTGCAGTTTCCTTGATGACCACAGGGAGTCAGAGTCATACAACAAAACACTGCCTGTTGTGGTGAGCTGCTCAGAATCTGCCCCAGCGTTACAGCATGAAAAATGACCCTCATATTATTTTGTCAGAAATCCCCAATCCATCAGTCCCTTTGAAGTGTACGCTTCTAAACTCAGGCTTTGATCTTCCTCTTCTCCTGGTGTCCTACAATAATCACAATTAGTGTTCCACGGACATTGAGTATTATATCAGTAGAAGGGCAGCAGCTTTGAAAACATAATTGTGAATACATGGAGAAATGAGATCTGGAACTTTGATTGCCACAATAGGTGCGGTGCCTCTCTCGTCATCTCAGTGGAACTCTTACAAATCAAAGAACATGATGTAGCTCAGCTGAAATACACTTGCAACAGCCCCGTCTCCAAATCTGTGACCTCAGCTGTAATAAAACGAAAGATGTGTTTTCCTCATCGGGACATAATCAGTATTCACTCTGTCCACCGCCGTTAGAGGAATTGAAGAAATGAACCAAATCCGGATATCACACAACAAAAGACACCACACACTCCAGCCCTATGCACACTGTCCCACTTTAACACACAAACAAATACACACTCACCTGTGTGTGATCCTTTTGCCTGTTCACCAAAGATGAGAGGTGGCATGAGGCACTGAGCGGATCAGTTTTATTGTAGGTATCTTTTACCAGCAGGGAGCGCTCTCCCCTTATGTCCTTCACCGCTATCACATAACTCTCTCATACACTGAGGCCGGCTGCCACACTCTTCTCGTCTCCTAGCAACCTCAGAACCCTGCCTCCAATCACTACGGATACCGGGAGGGATGGAGGGAGGGAGGGAGGGAGGGAGGGAGGGCGGGAGAGTGTGAAAGAGGTAGAGGGTGAAGAAGAGGAGGAGGAGAGGCTGACGAGGCTTCAGCATCAGCATCTCAAACAGCAGAACTGAAAGGTTACAAGTTGATCCAAGAGTTGGATCGAGAGGTGGGAGGTGAATGATGAAGCCAAGGTTCCCAGGCACATTTTACAATCATGATTCAAATCAGCTGTATGATGGAATCTGAAATGGAGGGAGAGGAGAGTTAAGACCTTTTGTCTTGAGTGAGTGTCCCCATAGCTCATGGTCACCCCCCCCCAGCATCACCAGCTCCTCCAGTCCTCTCCTCTTCCACTCTCACCTAGCCATACCTGCAGCCCATTAAATTTGATGGTGCCATCATCATCTCTGTTCTGTCCTTGTGACTCATGGCGGGATTCGGTGCTTTATTACTCCGCTCTTCCTCGGGGGGTCTGCGCTCTCCTCTCTCCGGTGATCTGTGTTCCTCTCACACACGGGATGTTCACGCAGGACAAAATGTACACATACGTATATACATGTATATATATATATAGGATTGCAAAGTGCAATCCTGCATGACATCACAAAACGTGTCACATACATGTAGGCCGGTATGTTGGAGCTGACTCACCCGTCACACAATAAGCCTGCATAACGTTCTGTGGACATACTGTGTCATGCAGATAGAGCACAGACACACATACACTCGTCACTCACAGTCACAACACACAAGCTTTCATATGCTCCGCGTGTGATGGGACAGTGACCTTAGACACTAGATCTCCTCCCCCTGTGGCGGCTGTCATGCAGGGATGCGCCGAACAGATATGTGCATGACAGGGCTTAGTCAGGACGACTGGGCAGGTTGATACACAACAGGAGTCAGTGGACTGAGAGCTGATGGGCTGTCTGCGGCTTGCAACAGATACAAAACCATACTTCAATGTTTATACGTGCGCGTTATCTTATGATGGGTTGAGGTTTTGAAGCAACCAGCCTCATGATAAATGTTAAAGCATATTGCAAACTAAAGCCTCACAAATAAGTATTTTTATCAAATACAACTGGTGGAATCTGTACATTTAATCCAGCATTTGACTTTATCTCGAAAGGAGACCAACGGTTCTGTCTGGATTACATCTTTAAATT